TCAGAATACTCATTCGATTTACAGGTGTTATTATAGGCGAAACGTTTCGACCGAGTACCCACTGGCCATTTTCAGGTATACATTATTTTGATGGATATGAGGTATCGTGATTATTGTCTCATTTTGTCACTGTGCTTCCGTTCCTTGTTTAAACATATAGAATACATCAAAGTATACACTACAAGCAAAACGTTTGGCGCCACCCTGTATTTCTTTAAAAACACTTTAAAATAAGAGGGTTTTTTTGTATTTTTAAAGTAACATTTAAAAGTTCAGTAACTATAGTGTATTTGCTTTTATTTTGACAAAAAATAAGCTCGTATCTATAAAAAAAATATCATACAACAGCATCATATTTTGTTTTGATCAATAAAACCACCACCTGCCTTAATTACTAGCATTTTTCCAACAAATTTTGAAAAAAAAAATATTGACTTGACAGATCTTCAAGCATTCTTCAAACACTGAAAAAGCTCACTCTCACTCTTTGGGTATTCTCTTCGAACACGTGGTTCACATGTGAGTTCTTCTGTTTTCCCTACTGCTGTAGGTTTGAAATGACGTTTATCACTTTCATAGTCATCAGAAATTGGTTTGGGCAAACATGATTCAGCTCTATGCGTGCTAAATAGTAACTCTCATCACTTAGCAGTCATCATGGGACCCTCATGATTTCGTCATAACCAAAGGGAGGTAACTGCTCTTCGCAACCTGACCGTGGTTAAAACTTTTCTGATTTTATAGACTTTATAAACCCCAGGAACATTCACAGTATTACTGCTTAAAAAGGGAAATTTTATTAAGTTGTTGGAAACTCTTCTTTATTCACAATTCAACTTTCCCACACACAATTTTCAGACGAGAATATACTACAGGCAAAAAGTTTGGGAGCCACCCTGCATTTAAAATGTTTTTGTATTTTTAAAAAGTAAAAGATAAAATTTCAGTAACTACAGTGTATTTAATTTGATTTTAACAAAAAATAAGCATTTAAATATAAAAAAATATCATACAACAGCACCATATATTGTCTTCATCAATAAAACCACCACCTGCATTAATTACTGCTTTACAAATTATAGTCAGTCTTTCCAACAGTTTTTGAAAAACAAATAGATGGCAGACCTTCTCAAGCATTCTTCAAGCAATCACTCAAAAAGCTCACACTCACTCTTTCAGTATTCTCTTCAAACTCACCTATCCAATTCATCCCATACTAATTGAGAGAGAGAGAGAGGTCAGTAGATTGAGGCGGCCAATCATATTTTCCAAAATTTTGGTCTATTTTTTTTACTCAAGGTAATTTTGACATAATTTAAGTGTTATGAATTGTCATGTTGGGAGGTGAATTTTTTCCAATTGTGTGTAAGCCAAATGGTATAGCATGTCATTGCAAAATTGAATGATATTGTTCTTTTTCTCTGATTCCTTTGACCAGAAACAAATATTCAGCCCCCTTCTCAGTATTTATCATTTCACCCACGGGAAACGAATATGGCACAAGGCCGGTTTTATTGTGGGTTTCTCCGAGCCCGTAGCCTCGGCCAAAAAAATAGCCTTTTGAAGCCGGTTAGACGGGTTCAGGCCCTGTCTACCTCCCCGGACGAAACCTTGCCCTTCGGCAAAGCCTCGTCCGGGTTCCTCTCTGCCAACGCAGAGAGTTCGACAGACGTCGGAAGTCAGCCCAAGAACTTCTCAGCCCCCTTCTCCCTCACAACATAACAATCCTAACACTATGCTTAACCGTTGGAATCACTCATTCATCATTCAGTCTTTCCTGGCTTTCTTCTCACATATCTTCTTCTTTTACTACCAAAAGGTTAAAATTTGAAACTTGTCTATCCAAAATACATTTTGTCACTCTTTCAATGTCTATTTTTTATGCTTTTTGTCCATAAGTCTTTTCTGCTTATTCATCTTATGTAACAAGAGTTTCTTAATTGGTTAGGCATCCCCTGAGCTCCACTGATCTAAGTCGATTTGTAATAGTTGCGAGAGACATTAGTTGCTGTCGAAAGCAATTAAGTTCAGCTGTCAATTCTGGAGCAGTTTTCTTTCGATTTCTTTTGCTCTCAATAATCAAGTGTTTATCTTCAGTTGTCACTTTTGGTGCTCCAGCTTCTTTTTTCTATCAACATTTGCACCAGTTTCTGCCTTTGCAGCAAATACTTCACCACATGTCTAGAAATCCTCTCAATTTCTTACTTAGCTGCTTTGATTTTACCATTTTGTGCAAATTATTTCAAAATTCAAATGAGAAAACAAATTATGAAAACACAGTCGTAATGACGCAGTCATTTTTTCTCTCCTTCAAACAGAGACAGTTGCATATGTTTTGTTGACAACATTATCAATGCTGAGTTAACATTTAGGAACTGCATTATCATTTAACTTAATTGAAAATGTTTGTAATCTTAAAATGTCTACTGAGGTGTTAATGATGAAAATAATATACAAGGTTTCCCTAATGTCTGAATACATCATAAGAATTCTCATTATATTTTTTTACCTCCACAGATTAAAAATGGTTTTATTGAAAGAAGAACGAATTGACATCTTTTTCTGGGTTATTCTAAGAGAGAAGGTGTACTCAATGAAAATCACAGCTGCAAACATTTTTTATTGAACGCATAAAGAGTGAATATGCTAAAATTGAAGGGCAATGTGGAGTTATTGCATCGAGTTCACATGAATCTTGCAAAACGCATCAACCTTTACATCCCAAATGATAGAAATCATATTAAAGATGGTATTTGTTAATATTCCAAATCAATAAAATGTTGTTGAAAATTTCATTTCTTGAAAAAATGGATTTTTATCTAAAGTGTCCAGACTTTATAGACACTCTGTATAGTGTTTATTATACAAAATATTTATAATTTTGTAAAATGTATTGTGGACAGACGATTTCTAAATTTGAACTTTTTCCTGGTAAGAAAATTAGCAAACAAGTCGAATTAACCCGTCTTGATTACTAAATGTCGAAATAATCTTCATTGGATTTAAAAATTCCAAATTCATGCTAGTGTTGTAATTTATATGGGCGTTAGTGAAATGTTGCTATCATTTAATGGTCGTGTGTTAAATCCTGTTTTAGTTGAACAGGAACAAACAATAAACTACATTTCAAAGAGAAATTAGTACAGTAATCAACAGATATCCCGCGAGAAAATTTCTTAGTCCTGAATATTCTTACTCTGGCAAGGAATTGCAGAGCGATTAAAGACAATTCGTAGTCATGAGAGAAACCAATGATTGTCCGTGAGCGACCGACCAGATATCTCGCGCACAGGACAAATTAAACAAATATCAGCCAAGATAAATATATATATATATATATATGGTCTAAATATGATCAGAGAGTATTTGGTCGAAACGATGTGCTTGTAACACCATCTATAATAAAGGCGAGAACGACAGTTAGAATAAGTCAAAGCATATTGACAATCCTCTCGAAAATCAAAAGAAAATTTAATATTTGCGATCTTTATTTTAATTCCAATTTATTGTGTTGGTGCATAATTATCAGGCGTTTTTTAAACAATATTTATTATGAAAAAAGAAATATAACAATTTCACAATAAATTTTTTAAATGATTATTCCGGAGCATATGATTATCGACACGCATATTTATAACCTGAAAATAAAATGTTTTTATTTTTTTAAAAAAAAAGTAAGCAAGCAGCAATTTTTATTAACAAATAACTACAAAAACGCTTGATAATTATGCACCAACTCAGTATTTCTGGAATTACGATTTCTTGTAATAATTAAAACGCAATGGATACATGACGACCATATTGATCCGAATTCTGTATCTTTGTGAATCTTCTTTTTACAGTAAAGCAGCAAAAACGAAATATTGTAGCTCAATTTCCAGTCCATTATGACCACCTTTTCCCGAGTAATTTTGAATTAATTCTGACGTGGCGCAAAATCCGTACCCAAGACAGATAATTTTATGTCTAATAACAGAATCGATTGTTTTGATTTGTCTGCACTCTTCTCCATTAGCCATAGTGGTATATCAATGGTTATACTTAATAATAAAGAAGTTTGCTGATAATTAGGATTCGCAGATGATTATAATATAAACTCTTGAAATAGGAAGCGACTTGATATCAAAGGCCTCATTTAAGCGAGTAAATAATGAAAATATTTATTTTGTATAGATTTTTTTTGTATTTTAGAAAATATAACAACCAAAAATGAATCTAAACACTCGTATAATATTTATTTATAGTCTGTTGTTACAGCGAGCATTAATTTTTTTATTAATAGTGTATATAACAAGGAAATAAAAGTGGCAATTAACTCATACTATCATGGGCTAACATAACATAAACAATATTCCTAATTCGGATAACAAGTAATTTATGTGTCTTTTTTTTAAATAATTATGAGCTTCTACTAGAAAATAATGTAAAATAATTTACTTGTTCAGCAATGATTTTGCAAGAAAGGTTATTAAAAATTAAATTATTAAAATTCGATATTTAATCAGTTTTTATTATTTTTTGTGGGGAGAGGTTTAAAAATAGATATAGAATCATGAAAATAAAACTGTTTTAAACATTGTAATTTCGATTCTACAACAGAATTGTTACAACGAATCCCCCCCCTCTGAATGATTTCAGAAAATGGAGCAGCGACAGCGACTTCCTACCTCTAAATGATTTCAGACAATGGAACAGCCAAAGACGACTCCCTCCCTCCGAATGATTTCAGACAACGGAACAACTAAAAACGACTCCCCCCATTAGAATGATTTCAAGCAACAGAGATAATATTTTTCGATAACAGATTTACCTAATCAGGTTTTTGTTTCCAAAAGAAACATTGACCTAAAATGGGTTAAAGTTGGTACAAAATCCCGTTGGAAATAACTGCTGTGGGTTCCAAAAATGATGTTTTACAGTTAATATTTTGGGTCTCTTTTTGAAATGCTTTTTTTTTCTCCATATTTTTTTATGAAATCTCCCTGGTTTTTCTTATGTAGTTAGAGATCTAAATTAACAGGTTTTAATATTTTTAGGTTGACAGGATTGAAGATAGATAGATAGATAGATAGATAGATAGATAGATAGATAGATAGATAGATAGAGAGAGAGAGAGAAAAACAGATAGAGAGAGAGAGAGAGAAAGAAAGAAAGAGAAAGAAAAAGAGACTGAGATTGGTAAAGAAAGAGAGAGAGAAAGAGAAACAGATTGAGATAGATAGATAGCGAGAGAGAGAGAGAAAGAGAAAGAAAAAGAGACTGAGATAGATAGAGAAAGAGAGAGAGAAACAGAAACAGATTGAGATAGATAGATAGATAGAAAGAGAGAAAGAGAGAGAAAGAAAAAGAGACTGAGATAGATAGAGAAAGAGAGAGAGAAAGAGAAACAGAATGAGATAGATAGATAGATAGATAGATAGATAGATAGATAGATAGAAAGAGAAAGAGAAAGAAAAAGAGACTGAGATAGATAGAGAAAGAGAGAGAGAGAAAGAGAAACAGATTGAGATAGATAGATAGATAGATAGATAGATAGATAGATAGATAGATAGATAGATGAAATTTTTATTTGGTAAAAAAGACATAGGAAATAAATGTTTGAGATAACATTTAATTTATATGGGCACACAACGAAGAAAGACAACACGAGCCGAATTTAAAAACAAACAATAAATTTATTGTTAACACACAAAATAATAATGATCACAAATTAAGTGCATCGTGTGCCAAATTATGGCCAATAAAACGTATGTAATATTAAAGTAAATAAAATATGCCCTTTTACAATAAAAATTATAATGCCGCACAAGGTCCTCAGAAAAGAAGACTTCCTATAAAATAAAGGAAAGAAGAAAATACAACTCTGAATAATTTTCAAAGAATTGATACAATTTTCGGAGCAATGTTCGTCGTAACAGCGAAGAATAGAACAATTACACCAGCCGAAGACTTTTCCTTGATGTAGGAACGACTTTGATGTTCCTTTCAATTCTCGTCTTGTGGTTGTCAAATTTCTTCTCTGTTGTTTTTTCTTTCTGGAGCGGGGCGACCTGGGTTCCAGAAGCAGATGCTCATCGACTCCTTGAATTAAACCCAAGGCCCTCTTTTATAACCTACAGATAGGCTCCAAATGCACTTCTCGGAATTTGAAGGGAAACCTTTTGTTTGGTTATGGGGGGAAAAACCAACGTAGCCGTTTTCTCACAAATCGAAATGTACCAAAAATATTTTTGAAATTCAAAAATTAAGCAAGAGCCCAACGCAGGGTCTGCTTTCTCTCAGATGGAAAGCACTTGATCACAAACACATGGACAATATTTACATCCAATGTATCCAAACATATTCACTCTTGAATATACATCTACGATTTATATATGTGAAGATAGATAGATAGATAGATAGATAGATAGATAGATAGATGTGAAGAGATTAAGAGAAATAGCTTAGATAGAGAGATAGAGGCATGGACATTAAGATAGAGGGCGAGAAAGTGAAACATGAAGGATTTAGATAGATATGAAGAGAATAAGATAGCTTAAATAGAGAAAGAGACATAGACACTAATATATATATATATATATATATATATATATATATATATATATATATATATATATATATATATATATATATATATATATATATATATATATATATATATATATATAGAGAGAGAGAGAGAAAGACACTCAGTATAGATAAACAGCCTGAGATAGATAGATAGATAAATAGATAGATAGATAGATAGATAGATAGATAGATAGATAGATAGATAATTTTTCCTCGTTAAAATGATGTAACTTTTAAGGAAGCCATTTTTAATATATAAAACTTTTAACAAGTCGAATGGACGAATAATTAGTTTAATTTGTGATTTTGGAGAAAGCTACCTTTAAAGAAATTCGGAGATTCTGACTACAATGTTTAAATTAACGACATATATATATATATATATATATATATATATATATATATATATATATATATATATATATATATACAATAATACGCGGGTCAAGAACGTCTGAATTACGGACGGCTCATATTTACGGACGGACTGCAATAAAATTTGTTATATTGAAAGTTTGAGTTTAATACATTAGTTTGTCATTGCGATCACACTATTCTGTGCCTCTAATGAAAACATTGTGCAGCTTCAACGGTTTGTTGGCTCGAGGAAATAAGAAGCCGTCCACCATTTTAAGTCGGCTCACGTTGCTGTTAATAGAGCGTTGCGAGTGTAACTTTGGATTTAACCTAATTTTCCTCGTACAAAACGTAAATCTGATGCAATGACTAGTGATGCGCGTGTGTCGCAATAGTAGAATCCTTTTTTCCATTTTTTACATCATATTATATATATATATATATATATATATATATATATATAGAAAGAAAGAAAGAACAGTAAGATATATAATCTAGTGTTCTTATTGGTATTTTTATTTTTACAAAATAGTGGTCAATGTAAATTTACAAAGCATTAATATTATAAATTAACTGATTTAAATATGGTCTTTTTCACTACACAGTATTAACCATGTTTCAAAAATGGAAGCTGAATGCTTCGAATTTAATTTTGTAATTCCATTTTTGAAACATGGTTAATACTGTGTAACGAAAAAACATATTTAAATCAGTTAATTTTAGATTATATATATATATATATATATATATATATATATATATATATAAAGAAATATAGTCTTAAGGTGTGCTATATTTATGGGATAAAGTTCTCAATATCAGAGATAGAGCGTGTGTAAATATAAAAGTGAACATAGAAGTCAACACTTAGAAGCGACAGGCTGTTTCATGCTATATGCGATCGTCAGGCCATACTATATATATATATATATATAGTCGGCACCTGCTCGCATCCGTGTATCGGGATCGTTATCATCTCTTTCTCACATCTGGTTGCGGTGGCGGAGATGGTTGTGAAGGCCGAACCTACTCCTGCTGGGTCGTGAGCCGAACTCACAGAGAAATGTAGCTGGTGGACGCGGCTGGGCAAGTCAGGTCCTACTGGCAGCACGTCGCAGATCCTCTTCATATTGATGGTGGGAACGAAAGTCTCGGTCCGCCCAGGTTTTGGAATCGATGTTGGCCAGTGATCCTTGTAGCGTCGTATTGGGCCTCTGCGTAGCCTCATGCTCTTGGAGAGTTCTCCAAACGTGGGAGTCAAGTGGGACTCATTCTGTACACATGCCCTGCCCAGCGAGGACAATGTCGATGAATGGTAGCCTCGATGCTGAGAAGAGATGTCCAAGAGTATATATATATATATATATATATGTGTGTGTGTGTGTGTGTGTGTGTGTTTGTGTGTGTGTGTTTGTGTGTGTGTGTCTGTGTGTGTGTGTGTGTGTGTTGAGGCCTCACACTTATACACACACCCACACGAATATACACACTTACACACATCATATTCACTCACTCCCTAATGAGCCAAATGATAACACACACCCACAGTAATATACACGCTTACACATATCATACTCACTCACTCCCTAAGAACCAAATAACACACACACACACTTAACAGAGACACATCCCCTCTCCAGGAACCAATAAAACTGTCAAACTGACCAGGGGAATTCAGAGCAACATGGATCCATCCAGCTCTTATCTCAAATAACAACTTAAAAGAGATTGTTTGACCAACACAAGGAATGTTGAAAAATTCATGTTAAAAAGATAAAAAAAAAAATTAAAAAAACAAATGAAAACTACAGACAAAAGTTCGTTTTCTCTATCAAGACATTCATTTCTGTAGTTCACTGCTACCAGCAAGCAGAATTTTTTTTCTCCTGATGATGGCCATGTTGGCCGAAACTAGTCGAGGAATCTAAATGAAATAATAATAATGATAATAATAATAATAATAATAATAATAATAATAACGAAAGAATATTAATCTAGATTTTTTATTGTTCAATATATATATATATATATATATACATACATACATACATACATACATACATATATATATATATATATATATATATATATTGGTTCCAGCAATAACTAGATTTTGAGATCGATTAAAAAAGAAAAATGCGTGACAATTTACAATTGTTTTGAAACAAAAATTTTAATTACATTTCCCTTTCTTTCTTTTGAAAGACGAGTAAAAGGGAAATTTGAGACTTTTTGTCTCAAATTTCCCTTTTACTCGTCTTTGCTTTTTTTTCTTTTCTTTCTTATTTCATTTTTTTTTATAAATACTTTCTCTTCCTTGCTTGCTTCTTTTCCTTTTTCTTTTCCTTTCTTTGATTTACTTCTTTTTTGCCTTCCATTTTTCTTTTCTCATTTCCTTCTTGTCTTCTCTCCTATATTTTTGTTTCTTCGCTTTTTCCCTCCTTTTCTTTGTCTTTCATTTTTCTATTACATCTCTCTGCCTTACTTACTTTCATCCTTTCTTTCTTTTCCATTTTTCTTTCGTTATCGTTTTCCTTACTTTCTCTATTCTTTCTTTCTTTCTTTTTTTCACTTTTCCTTCTTACTTTTGTTCACTTTTTTCTACTTTCACTTCTCTCTTTATTTATCACGTCATTTCTTTCTTCTTTTTTTTCCTTCCTTCATTTCTTTCTTCTTTCCTTCTATCTTTACTTTCTGGTCTCCTCTTTCTTTCTGTCTTTCTTCTTTCTTCTCCTTACTCTCTTAACTGCTAATCTATTTGTCTTTCTTTCTTGATCGCCAAGAAAACCTCAAGAAGCATACACACTCCCGTCTGCATTTCCCCGAAACACGACAAACCTGGAATTTTATAGAACTATGTAAGAAAATGATTGATTTTAAATCATTGTTTATAAATTGACGAGAAAAAGAACGCACTTCAATATTACTCAATGATCTTGCTGATGTGACCTCTATCTTCTGGTTTTCCCCTTCTATATTTTGGATAGGAGTCACTCCCTTGTTAAAATTTGAATTTAATTTAAATGGAAAAAAATTCAGCGGTGTCTTAAAAGGACCCCCTTTGATCAAAATGAAATATACTTACCCGAGTGCCGTAGGAGTCATTCCTTGTTCAAATTTAAAATTTAATTCAAATGGACTGGAAAAAAATTCAGTGGGGGTGGGGGCACCCCTTTGACCAAAATGAAATATACTTATCCAAGCACCATAGGAGTCATTCCCTTGTTCAAATTTAAATTTAATTTAAATCAAAGGTTGTTTGCGCACCTCCGGGACTCCCTTCGACCAAAATGAAATATACTTATTCTGGGTAATGAAATTTCAGAATGCATACGATTATTGGAGTCTATCTCCAAAACCATAGGCGGAGTTCGATAACAAACAAACAGACAGACAGAGGCTACAAATTACAAATAATACTTCTTTTTATTCTTTTTTAATACTTACCTCGTTTATTTTTCTTTTTTTCTAATACCTCGTTTCTTTTTCTACTTTTCAAATACTATGCTTCTTTTTCTTTTTTTAATACTCACCTCGTTTATTTTTCTTTTTTCTAGTACCTCGCTTCTTTTTCTTCTTTTTTAATACTTATCTTTCTTCTCATTCTTATCTCACTTCTTTGCAAAATTCTCTTTCTTCTATTCCCACCTTTCTTGTT